CCCCTTCACCTCTTATGGAACTCCTTCAGATCTTTCTCTGACCCTCCCATCGCCACTAAATCAAGGTCCCCCATGATAAGCTTTCATAGCACCCTGTGCTTCCTCCTCTTACTCTCATCACAGTTGGTAATTATATATTTGAGGGGCTATTTGGTGAAGTTCTGCTTCACCTACCGCCTTTGAAAGCTTCCTGAGCGCAGAGGCTGTGTTGTTCCATTGTGTCCCCCGTGGCCTGGCAACCGTCAGTGGAATGGCTGAATGAAGTTTGGCTATTTTCTTACGCGTCCCCTCTGCTCCCTTATCAGGCCCCCATGGGAAGGGCCATATCTATGTCTGTACTTCCAGACAGACCCCCTCCCCTACCTCACCTTGGCCGGGAACATGGTAGGGGATCCACAAATGCACATGGATGAATGATAACTTTCCCGGGTCCTTCTAAGGTTGATCTTTTAACGATGCTTCAAGAAACGATGGTGTGTTATGATATACTGTTAAGCTGATGTCTGCGGTGGGCATTGGAACTGGCTGTCACTCCCTGTTATTCTCCCAGAAGAGCATGTCCTTGGACCATGAACATCTCTGCAGACTTTGCCAGCCCTGATCCACCCTGTGGGATGGGCAGGCAGTGTCACTACTTTCTCCCTTTTACGGAAGAGAAACTAGAGGATTAGGGAGACGGGTGAAAGCCCAGGGGAGCGTGAGCTGGAGCTCAGATGCAGGCCTTCTCTGTCCAAGCCTGTGACTCTCCACCCCACACCTCCCCAGCCTGGACCCTGAGCTCCGCCTGGCAGGCAGCCCACGTTGTCACCCAAGGTACCTGGTGGCTAGTGCGGTCCCTGTCAGGGGAAGGGCTCACAGGGCTGCTGAACGAACGCACGGGGGAATGAAGGCCCCAGGCCACCCCCTCCTTCCAGAAACCACCCTGAGATGCTTTCTTCTAGTCAGGGCTCTATCTCAGAGCCCAGGATGGAGGAGGAAAAAGGGCCAGGGCAAGAGGAAGAACAGTACACACAGCAGCACCTCCTGACTATAACATTTTACAGTTTTGTGTTGTTGTTTTGTAAGAATTTACTTGAGCCCTAGCCGGCTTGGCTCAGTGGATAGAGCGTCGGCCTGCAGACTGAAGGGTCCCGGGTTTGATTTCGGTCAAGGGCATATGCCTGGATTTCGGGCTTGATCCCCAGTGTGGGGTGTGCAGGAGGCAGCCGATCAATGATTCTCTCTCATCATTGATGTTTCTATCTCTCTCTCCTTCTCCCTTCCTCTCTGAAATCAATAAAGAAATAT